AACTCTTTGTGCTTCTGTCAATACAGTTCCATTGCAAGGCATTGTGTCTTTAGTCCAGGTGTCCTCAAACTACAGCCCGCGGGCCACATGTAACCTGCCTAGGATATTTATCCGGCCTGCCGGGTGTTCTTGCCACCACTGCCTGTCCTGCTTAGCAGCCAACTCGTCCTGGGGCCCGCAGTCCAGCCCTCCAATGGTCTGAAGGACAGTGAACTGGCTCCCTGTTTAAAAAGTTTGAGGACCCCTGCTTTAGTCCGTGTATTCTTCAGGTTTCTTGCAGAAAGATTTTAGAGTTCTCCTTAGTCTTTCCTTGGCTACAAGACTGAATGGAAGCTTTGTAGTCTTTTTCTACATTTAGTGGTAATGCAACTTCTAAAACTAAACTGTGTTACTCTGTTATGTCTGTCAGTCATCAAAATCAGTCAAAATAAAGATATTTTCATTAATATAAAAGTAGATGGTTTCACTTCATTTTAGTTAAGTGGAAAATTTGCTGGCTAAAGCATTGAAATCCCTAATTCACAGAGAAGCATAACTTCTGAAATGTTGCTGACCATTTTCAGAATAGGTAGTAGAAGGAAGGATCAGGAGGGACGGTGGTGGGAGAAAAGACAGATATCAGCTATGTGGAAAAAGTTACTCCATTTGATGAAAGATTTTTTTTTTTGTTTGGTTAGGTTTTTGTTGTTGTTAATTGTTTTTGATTCAGAGTCTCACTCTGTTGCCCAGGCTAGAGTGCTGTGGCATTAGCCTAGCTCACAACAACCTCAGACTCCTGATTTCAAGTGATCCTCCTGCCTCAGCCTCCTGAGTAGCTGGGACTACAGAAGCTACCACCATGCCCAGCTAATTTTTGTATTTTTAGCATAGACAGAATCTGGCTGTTGCACAGGCTGGTCTTAAACTTCTGAGCTCAAGACATCTTCCCACTTCAGTTTCCCAGAGTCCTGGGATTATAGGTGTGAGACACCGTACCTTGGCCTGATGAAAGAGTTTAAATGTGAATGCACTGATACTGACTGTATTGACCAGTGCACTGATTTAGCATACTCCTAGGTGAGCAATTCTTTGGTTTACAAAGAACTTACAAAGTCTGCCCAGTGCAGGTGGAGAAGCTATTGAAATCTTAGCTAAGATATCTAGGCTAGTGACCATCAGCTGCGCTTCAGGTACCCTGTCTGCAGTCCTTGGGAACCAGATGACATTGCTGAGCCCTGAGGTTGACTTGGTCTCTGAGTCCTGCCTCTGCCGCTATCAGTAGGGTTTTATTGGAAAACAGCCATGCTGCTTTAGTGCTGGAGCACTGAGTAGTTGTGAAGGAAACCTGCAAAGCCTCTGGCCCTTTACAGAAGAGGTTTGTCAACCTTGGCTTTGCACTGTCAGCTGTAGCAGCCAGACACTATATTATAAATGAAGAACAAACTGCTAGGTCCTGGTCCACAGATCCCCCCCCCCCCAATATCGCTTAACAAAGAGTAAATGTGATGTGCTGGGAGCACAAACTGGGCTGGGCTGCTCTGGGACCCTTCTGACTGATGTGGATTTGGGATTTTGTTCTTTTCCTGAAAAACTAAAACCCACATTTTAACAAATAGAATTAAAGAATCTTATCAGAAAGAATACCTGTTCTCCAAAAGCTTATGAGTAGGTTGGGTATTTAAAGTCATTATAAAGGGCTCAGAATATCGATCCTTGGAGGGACCCTTTCTCCTTTTGCAGTAAGATTTGACCCTTTGATCTTTTGTCTCATGTCTTCTTTCCAGCCTTTCCCCCATGATTCAAGAAACTTGCTCCCTTAAAAGTTACCTTGGATCCAGCTACTTAGGAGGCTGAGACAAGAGAATCCCTTAAGCCCAAGAGTTTGAGGTTCCTGTGAGCTGTGATGCCACAGCACTCTACCGAGGGTGACATAATGAGACTCTGTCTTAAAAAAAAAAAAAAGGTTACCTTGGGTTCTACCCCATCTGCCATGTTTCACATTTGGGGCTGGCTCCTCAGATCTTGCCCATTTCAACTCTGAGACTGATTCTGTTTTGTTTTGTTTTG